TTCCCTACAGTTAACAAAAAAAAAGGTGATTCTCTTTGTTTGGCACAACACTAAAATGGAACATTAAGTCTTGAGTTTCCAGGCGCCTTCCTATTTGTCTTGAAGTAAAGGGACATAGCTCTTTAATACCCCATAATCTTAGGGGGACAGTTTTAGAAACAGAAAACAACCTGGATTATGTATGTTTTATAAGAGCGTATAATCTCCTGCCTTCATGTCATAACTGAGTCTTTTTTGTGGTTGACAATTCTGCTAGGTATATACTTTTTTTTTCCTAAGCTAGTTTTTAGTAAGATCTGTCCCTCCAGTCAGTTCACAATGCACTAGTTTGCCACGGCAGAGGTACAGGAACAGGCAGCTAGGAGTGGAACAAGAATGAAGTCATCCCTTTTGTCAGCTGCTGACTCTCGTATCAGACTAATGAAACAAGTGAACCATATCTTATCATTAGTGCCAGCTGAAATCAGAACTGAGGAATAGTACAAGAACACCAAGTAAAAGAAAATTCAGAGCTATTACAATTTCCTGAAACGTCCTGAGAGAAAAGAGATATTACCCAATACATGCATGCACATGCACCTGCATCCCCATCCACTCAAGTTTCTTAGAAGTTCTAAATTTTGCAAAAGGTTGTATTTTAGGTGGCTGTATTTAGTCAAAGGTAAAAGGAACAACCTTAAGCATATAAAAAAAAAAGTCTGACCACTTAAAATTCAATGGGCAAATCTTAAAATGGCTTATAAAACAAATTTATTTTTAATGATTAAAATAGTTTACATAATGTACAAACTGATATGCTACCAGGACACACTCTGAAATCTCACAGTTGTTTTTTTTTTAAAAAAAATTTGTCCAGTGAAATGTAAATGCCATCTTTTCCTTCCTGAGCTATTCTTAAAAATCCAGAACAGCAGCACTTCCATGTCTTTTTACTGTTCATATTTCTTCCCCATTAAAATAAAAAGCACTATACATTGCTGGCTTTCAGTAGTTAGAACAAATTCACCTCTGGTTTATGTGACCACAGCTCTGCGTCTCTCAAACTGTGTTCTTTTATACGCTTAAGGTGATTTTGGCCCGTTCCACGTAACACCCCAAACCTTTGCTTGCACAAAGAAGCCAGAAGCTCCAGTACGTCAAGAGGCTTTCCTGGTTAAGGACTTTTTGCAACAGGACAGCTCAAGGGGCTTGTAAGCAAAGGATGGGTCCAAGAGCCCCTCATCTCAGTTGTTAGAGGAAAACGTCCTATTAATTTTTGAGCAGTCTTCACACTCAGTAAAACCAAATGCACATGGACCAATAGTTCAAAAGCATACACAAACAGCAATGAAATGGAAGTGCTGCAATTCTTTCTTTTTTTTTTTTAAACACAAAATACAATAGAAACAAGTACATGTTTTTAGTCTGGTGTGAGGGATTCTCAGCATGAGGCACTCTAAAAAAATGTATTTTAAAAACATGCATTGCAAATCTGTTCTTTGCTAGAAGCTTATACAGCAAGCAGCAGGTTATATGCAGACACACGAAGAAAGGTTATTTTTCTAGGATACCAAGTAGCACAAATAAATAAATTCTCTTGATGCAAAAATAATTATCTTACTAAAATGAGAAATAACCTACATCTTCCTAAACTTTTGTTTGGAAAGGAGATGCAATAGGTCTTTAGTACACACACGACTGACATTTTATCGTTTCCTCCCAAATTTTAAGACTTGCAGAACTTTGACAAAGAGGAGAGAATTCCTGGAAGCAGCGAGGCAAAGAGGTGCTGAGGGATTATTTAACTGACGTCAGTACTACTAACATTAAGCAATCCTTCATACCTCAGCTTTTCTCACTTTGCAGAGCTGTTTAGGGCAGGTTCACTGAAGGAAGAAATGCTTGCTGAAAGTTTCTCTACAAGTCACAAATCGTTCAAGCAATTTTGCCATTTCTAGAAGTTGCCAGAAATCGCTGACATCTATGTTGTGGTCAGATGAATCAAGAAAAAAACTTGTGCTTAGACTCACATCATTCACTCATCATCATTTTCAGGTTTTGGTGTTTTTTTTTGGGGGGGGAGGTTTTGGTTTTTTACATCAGAAGAAAAGTAAGCAATTCTGGCAAATGAAGGCAATGGTTTTGGATCCTATTACCTTGTCAAATGTGACACCAGCTTTATGCACCACCAGAAAAGGATCCTCTCAGCAAAGCTCATAGTGCACCAAGACAGCTTCAGAAGCAGATGAGTGGTTCGGCACTAGTGGACACTTCCTTCTAGCTCCAGGACACCAAGCCTGAATAAGTCACTGAAGACAACTTACCAACAACCAGCAAGTTCCTTGCTTACGTTCGCAGTTGATTTAGAGAAGTCAGAGTTACTTTAGCAGAAACAACGCTACCAGTTGGTGGAATTTGTCTGCACAGAAAGGACTGTATGCTGTCTGAGCTCAGCAGCTGCAGTAAGTTCCTCCCTGTTCAGCCATCGCAACATACATTTTTCTGTCTTCCTCCTTTCCCAAGTTCTGTCCAGTAACTTAAGTGCATCCCTCCACAGGGAGGCCCTTTTCAGGCCAAACAGGCAACACAAGATGAGATATACGGCTCCACAGTCCACTCAGCTTATCTGTGTCCATGCTATTATAAGAACTAGGAACATCTGAACTGGTAAACTTCACCCAGAGGAAATCTCGGACTTTCTCCTCAACTTCTTGCAAGGTGAGGCTCTTTCTCAGTGACTGCTCATCCAGGAGAACTGTCAGCAGGAGAGCCACATCCTTAAATGCTGCATTTTCATGGTCACAGTACTTGTAAAAGATTAAAGTGGAGCCTGCAGGCAGTAACTCAAATCGATGCACCACTGCTACCTTCTTACCTTCTCTGAACCCAGAGCTGAGCTCATTATCTACCTCCAGCTTGACAATGTCACTATCCAATATGGCTTTGTCTGCCCCATTAATTTTGATTGTAGTAGCATTCTGGGAGAAGGCAAAAGCATCGGCAATCTCGTTACTTAGGCACTTCAGTGCCTTCTCAGCTTCCCGGCCAGCTGTGAACAGTAGGATGGCCGGCTCCAAATGTAGGTGGGAAGCATTAAGGTGTTTCTCAAGGAACACGTGTGTTCTTTTCCACAGATTGGGGTCCTGACTTTGGTAAGTATTTTTTAGTTTCTTCATCCGAGCCCGAAACGCTTGCAGAATTTGAGTATCTCTACTTGACAAAGTTGCATCTAGAAGACTTGGCATTCTACTCAACAGGACATAAAGCAATGGGACACTAATTAACAGAACCAGTAACAAAGTCCATCTCTTGTGAAATCCACTCTGCGATTCACCATCATCTATAAAAAGGAGGAGCAAACAGAAAGAAAACAATGTTTTAAAAGGAATCAGAGGCCAACAAGTGAGAGGAACATAAGAGGAGACAGTAGAATTCAACGTACTTATCCCACTCTCAAGCTACTGGTACAGTAGTTTAAAAGCATAAAGATGTTCTTGTTAAAAAAGCCCAACACAACTTTGAACTTCTTTAGCTTTAACTTAGTGAAGTGACAGCATTAAAAAAAGGACATTTTCACACATTTCCAGATTGACTAAGAAATTGGACATTCTTCTGAAAGTTTATCAGTACTCCATTCTATTTAATCAAATCCAAACTAAGAGCTTAAAATGGTTCTGAAAAAGGTCAAGCTTTTTCTTACATTTAAGCTCTGCGGACAAAGCCCTGTACAAAACTTGGCATCACCAGAATGGTTTCTGTGGTGCTATTTATCCTCCCTACCCTCATAAAGACAAAAATGGTTTCTGCAGCAGTATTTGCATCTCAAACACTGGTGATCAACACGATCAGAAAACATTTGTGGTTCCTTGGATCACTCAGCTTCACAAAGAGTACACACAGCAAACAGTGCACAGGAAGCATATAGAGTATCAGGTATTTTGATTTGGTTTTCTATTTGAACAGTTGAATTAACACTTGTTTGACCTACTACAAGCTAAGTCTCGATTCCGTTCCTAGTAAAATTATTGACAAAATATACAAACGTCCCTGAAAACTGTATACCTTATGCTACCTTTTCATATCCTAACTTTTATCAGGACAGCAACACAACTGTTAAATAAGAACACCACTAGGCCTGACTAGCTTAATCTTGCAGCAAATCTTGTAAACACTGAGGGAAGACCTTAAATTCAGGTGGAAATGTTACCTATTATACAAGACTTTTCCTTCCTCAGTGCTGAAAACACATGGCCTAGCAACCAAGTCATCTGTTCTGGCAAGGACCCTCAGTTTAACACCAGCTATCAGGAAATATAGTACTTGGACAGGCATGAAAATGGTTAAATGTAACACGCACATGAAATAGAAGTGAAAGCAGAAGTCTTACTTTTGGCCCGAGGCTGTGACTGCTTCCCTATACTGGACTGATCTCGAAATGCTCTTCTGCCTGATAGAAGAGATTAAGAAAAGAACATGAGAAAAATACTAAGACAACAATTATAACCAATCTTCCAGCAGGGGATTTGGCAGGGAGTTGAAATCACCAAACTGCAGTATTTTCATTGAAAATTTGTTCTTAGTTATGCTTTTACATACAAAGTTCCAGAAAGCTTACAGGAGGCTTAACAAAGTACCCTGGCATAACACGTTGTCGAAGCGAACGCAGTCCTGCTAAGTAGGAGCAAAGGCAAGACTGTGACCTCATCCCAGGTAGGGCTGTGTAGCATGGGGCCTTCTGTTCTCTCCTGCATCATTCACCTTCCTGTGCTCAGGCAAGGCTAGCCTTGAACAAGGAAAATCACATGTTCACGGCCATTACTAACCAGAGGAGTCCCATTCAACTGGCAGACTAACTCTCCATCTACACTCTTTGCCAAGTGTCAGTTCTTAAGCCACCTTGACAGTCTTGCATAAAAAGCACAAGTCCCCAACCTATCACACATCACCCATGAAGAGTTTTAACTCTTGAAAAGTTACACAAATAAAAAGGAGGCATTTCAAGGTGACAAAATGGCAGATTTAACAACAGGTTATTTTCTGCACAAGGATCCCATGTCCTGATTAAGTTTCCCGATTTTGCTCAAGAATTTGAGGGGCAAAAAAATGGAAGCTCAGTTAACACACATATTAGAAAAAGATCGTCATGCAAGATACATGTAGCAAAAACAAAGCGGTATGTTAAAGGCATAGTTTCTCTCTTCTCCATCTAGCTTGGGTCAGAAGCCTTCTTCATCAGCAGTCAGTTTCTTGGGATGAATTGTGCTTTTAAAGCAAAATGCAAGCTTTCAACTTCAAAATATACTTTTGGTCTATTTATTTAAGTGGGTTCAGACAGCAAAGTACAAGAGACATTATCCATAAGAGAGTGTTATGAACAACTTTCCCAAGAGACCAGTATGAATATATACAGTGCAATTATTGTTCAGCATGTTTCTGCATTTAGTCAGTTAATTAAAAAGACATGAGAATTTCTGGCTCCTTGTGAACTACAGCAACTGGTTCAAAGCTGAAGGCACTTGAATAATATATAGCCAAATCAGGATACTGTCAACGGCACTATTGAGAATAAATTGAACAAACACGCCCTGCAGTAGTTATTTCAAGAACACTAAAATAAATTCTATAACCTTGTTTCTGTATGAATGTGATCACAAAAGGTGCTAAAAGCAGCTCTGGTTTAAGCCGGAGCTTAACTGGCTTAATGAGCTACTCTATTGTGTAATTTCAACCCCCTGCCCGGATAGGACACAGACATGGAGCTTGTAACTGGCTAAGATTATATAAATCTTCTAATAGTTAACAGATCAAAATCACCTCAATTCTGTAATATTTTACAATGTCGCCCTGTTTGCAGAGACTAGCTTTCACATTTAGGAGACAGCTGTGATTCATACCCTAAAAGAAAAAAATATTTCAATAAACAGTCTAAAACCAGACCCTATCCTACCTAAGGATTTTGCCTTATTTACAACACAATTAGCACAAAGGCCAAGCGAATTATTTGTCTTGCCTAACTCAAAAGGTGTTAACTTCTGCAGACACCTTAGAGCTTTCAGAGTTTTAAGTGATTTTTCCAACGTTGTTCACCCAACACACAACAGGTCACTCCTACCACCTTTGGCACAGAAAAACACCGGACTAGCGAGAACTCCCTGCATCAATTCGTTTTTCAAAGGCATTTCACAGATGCGCAGCTACCATAAGACAACGGTCTCTTCTGGAAGGCACTGTGGTTTTCAAAAAAATACCCCAAACAACCCCGCCCAGATTCTCCAGATTGAAGTCTGATACAAGACTTCATTTATCTTTACCTGTTCAGGATAGAAACAAGCACCAAGACATTATGAACAGGCTACTAAGAATTCAGAACTTTCCCCCCGCCCCTCTCTTAAGTACTCTTCCAAAAGGAAAAAAACAAAACAACAAATCCACAAACAATCAAATATAAAAATCCGAAACACAAGGAATTGGTCATTAGATGAACAGACTGCAGTTTGCCAGCAAAGAAAAATACCGCTCCTCTCCAGGAATATAGCGCAACAAATTCAATCATAGCGAGCCATTACTCAGGAAAGGCTAGAAGGGAAGGCGATGTGTACAAACTAATCTAACATTCCCTGCTACCAAAAGGTGAAGGGTTTGTTCCCTTCCTCAACTCACCCCCACAACACCACTAGTCCATGCTCTGCACTTACTGATCGTCCCATGAGTCAACTCCATTTCCTAACCCAGCTCAAAAATTTGAAAAAAATAAAAAAAATAAGTGGTTCATTTTCTGTGGCCAGCGACTTGAATAACCTCATAGAAGGGCTCTGGCTCATGCTGCCTTCTCCTGCTTCCATTTGGATCTGCCTCCTGGGTCCCTTCCCAGACAGAGTGTCCCAGGGCACAAGAAAAACCATAAGCACAGGAAAAGAATGCTGTACTTTTTGCTTAATTACAGGGAAAGTCTAGGTATCTATTTTTCAACTTACTCTGTGATGTAGTTGAACAGTGCTCTTGATTTTTCTCAAGGAAGTCAGCCTTTCTTTCTGAAACCAAAGCACAAATGAAAGAACTTCGTTATCACATCAGAGGTCAGAATAAGACAGACAAGCCATACATGCTTTTAGTGCTTTCTATGAAATCTTCAAAGGTTATTAGGGAAGGAGTATATGCTGTACTGCCAAACCAAGCCTGCACCATATGACAGCCTCTTGGACCCCTCCACAGATGGAGAAAGCTACTATTATCTAACAGAAATGGCTCAATTTGGCCCTTCACCCTGCTTTTCTCAATATGACACAAAATTATCCTTCTTATTTTTTCTTTAAACAAGTAACGATACAATAATCATAAAATGCAAAGGATGGGAAATTAGCAGCATAATTGATTGCTAATGGAAGGTACC